TTTCCATTTATCATGCATTTTCAAACAGTTTTCAGTTAAATAACTTTTAGAAGTTCAAGGCTTCTTCAACACGTAGGCTATATACATCGTAATCATTCAACACATCCAATACTTGGTATGAATAACACAGTATCATATGAACACCAATCAAAGATCACTTCTTGATCTAGTCTCAATACAAACAGGCACAGACACAACAGGTATGTGTAATCCTCGCTTCTCCTGGCTTTCGTTATTTCAATTTACGAAAGAATATTCCTGTGATTTCCCCAGAGGAAAACAAATTCTTGTTCACATCTGTCTCATGAAATATAGGTTACATGGATATAATTGTGTCAGTACTGAGGTCTATCTTGTAGCGTACTACTCATGTACAGGTTGTACGTGACTGCTTAAGGCCCTCTCAAAGCGCTTTATACATATCAATTATTACCCCGGTCATCGGATTCAGGCTTACCCACACACAATGTACATGTATGCACATTCTCCACTCCCTGGGGAGCATTCCAGCCAGGCGTCATTTTTACAAGCGCACACTTGCTCATCTAACCACATTAGCTTTCGCATCCTAATTTGTCAATCAAGCAATTGATCAATCAGTCCATTTGTAAATCGATCAGTGTGATTGTTTAATAACAATGAAAGGATTGACTGACTGCCCTCTCATTGACCTCGTCTTAGATAAAGTAACAAATGCAGGTGTTGGTTGAAAAATACATTACTGAATTTGATAGTCTACCAGTCATTCTGACAATTATACAATGTAATTGAGAATGCCATCATATTCCTATTAAATGACCTTGTATAAAGTAACAATGTGTATAATGAGTATACTTTTTTTTAAAACACTGTATCAAAGGGTAAAGGTAGATCATAATACAGAACAAACGTAAAAGAGAAGACAAAGTAAAAGTATATGTCATAGAGAAGAAGAAAAAATGAAGAGACAGAGGGCGCAGTTGTTCAATGAGGGGTATTTTTGAAAAAGAGAGGGTTAGGAAATCTAACACACAGAAAATACAAAGAATGCAAAATTGAAATAGAAAAGAAAAACGAAGTAGCTTGGATAAAAGAAGCAGAAAAGATATAGAGGTAGATCGAGAGGGGATCAAACAAATCAAAGAAAACATACAGAAACATTCAGAAACTGAGACCAGTTCTCCAAATAGATTTTGAAGGATATGTATGGTAGATATAAATCAGGAAGGGACAATATTTTACTTTTTTTTTTTAGGTAAATAAAAAGATCCTTAAACGTTTCACTGCAAAACATCCAAGTTCTTCAATTAACTATAGGGGGGGGGGGGAGCTTGTATCTCATAAAAGATACAAGCATGAGAAAACCCAAAAGATTGGAGAGAATGAAAGATAAGAAGTGACCCCTATACAAATTTAAGTTCGTCACGAACTCGTATTATGCTCGTGGTAAGCTTAATAAGATCGTTTTTTAGGCTTTAAGCTCGTAACACGCTTCCAGGACGCTAGTAACGATCTTACAAAATCTTCACGAGCTCGTGAACGAGTTCGTCACGAGCTCGTGGCGAACTCGCGGGTAAACTGGGCAGCTCGTGGCGAGCTCGTGGGTAAAAGGGGGAGCTCGTGGCGAGCTCGTGACGAGCTCGTTGGTAAAAGAGGGAGCTCGTGGCGAGTTCGTGGGTAAAAGGGGGAGCTCGTGGCGAGCTCGTGGGTAAAAGGGGGAGTTCGTGACGAGCTCGTTGGTAAAATGGGGAGCTCGTGGCGAGCTCGTGGCGAGCTCGTGGCGAGCTCGGGCGTAAACTGGGGAGCTCGGGGGTAAACTGGGGAGCTCGTGGCGAGCTTGTGAGTAAAAGGGGGAGCTCGTGGCGAGCTCGTGGGTAAAAGGGGGAGTTCGTGGCGAGCTCGGGTTAAACTGGTAAACCATGCCCTCTAGGGTGGACACCAAAGTTTCATAATTTTTTTAAAAATATCTATTTGATTCAAAATTGAACAATTCAATGAATTTTATATACACAATGTAGAAAGCCTTTCTTGTGAAAGATTAGAACGATTATATATGAAGTTTTCTTAACAAAATTGTATTTTGTATTTTTCATATACGGTAAAGCATGTTATGGGTGGACACCAAAGAATTTTTAGAATTTCAAACATGTGCTGTTTTTTTAACTATAACATTTTAAGCTTCATCTTTTTTAATTGATTTGATCCATGGAGTTCTTCCAAGAAATAAACTGGGAATTGTCAAAGTTGTTCATATAATGTGCATTCATCATGCAGAAGCACCAAATGGAACGGGTGTTGCATGGTGGACACCATGCATAACAACTGTTACAAGATGTGAAATATGGTGATTATGAAAAAACTTTGCCACGCAACCTAAGGTTATTAATGACATGAGCATAAATACATGTAGATTCAGCACTTACTACCAGACAATAATTGAACATCAGATAGTCATACAAATTTAGAGAATACTCATTACCAGGAACTATGTTTTTTCATGTCACGTTTTGGTGTACGTCCTAAAAAGGGCAAAAAATGGGTTTCACCTTACATAAAAATTTAAACCCAGGGTTTTGAAACACAACGTTATTTAAGTTATCTCCACTACATATCTGCATTAAGACATGGACAAAATTATCACCATAGAATATACTCTTTTATTTTTATACTTGGATCTGAAATATCCATGGTGAAATCTCTCCAGTATCGATATGCAATTACATTGAAAGTTCAGAAAATTTATGTTGAAATTGAAACAATAGCTTTTTCATGCTGAAGTAACCTGTCAAATTTCTTGTAAATTTAAATAAATTCTTTTGAAACTTTGAAACATTTATTTGCAGCATACCAGATTGGGAAGGGGGGGGGGTGCCATTTATTCTGACTGTATCATATATTTAACACCCTGAAATGTCACTATCAGGTATTACATAAGACCACACACCCAGTGCTTGATTCGAGGTCAACTCCCTGTTTCTATCTTGCTCTCTCCTTATGTACATAGGATCCCCCCTGCTTAGACACAAATCCCTATTCCTCTCTTCTCCCCTCTCTCACTTTCTTGTGTACTCTCTCTTGTGGAATTACCACTGGTAGCATTCCTGATAAGAATGAATTGATTTAGGCCCCTTTGGTCAAGTCTTTTTCTATCTTGCTGTTGTGGAGAGCAGACATGGGTTTTGAATGGTATTGCAGCTCCTTTGTTTTAGGTAAGAGAAAAACTAATTTCTCACACCTTTTAACTAAATGTTCTATTGTGTATTTATAATAAGACTAGGCCAACAGTTAGGCCTACCTCTCTTATACATTTATGAAAGAGAAGTGTAGAGTAATGATTAATGAGATCATGTATTCATTCTCTTTCTAGTGAGATATCTTTTCATATATTGGGAATTTTGTTTATCTATCTAGCACATAGTATATTCACTTCAATAAAGTAACATTAGATATCTATGTGATAAGGTTATATTCATGTAAACATTTCTGTATCTTGACTGACAAACCCTATCATTTAGGCAACATGAGAGCACAAGAATGCATTTGGTCTGAATACTGAAAACTAGTTTGCTAGCGGATATTAAGAAGGGATTGTTCTAGAGATCCTATAGTGTACATGTATCATTACTTGGTACCCTGGGTTGGTGAATACACTGACAAAAAGGGGGGATGCTACATAGTTATTGTATGAATACCGCTTTATAAGTTTGGATCTTTGTAATATTATGAGTGATTAGAATGATGGATAAATAATTACCAAAATGGATAATAATATTTCTTCAAAGGCAGAGTATTATACAGTGTAATTACTCACATATTTAATATCATTATACAGTGTAATTATATAATTTGGAAATCATTTATTCATTCATATTGTTGTGTGAAGTTGTGAACCCTGCATACAGGTAACATGCATTATACAGGGTTTGTATTGACTCTAATAAAGAGCTACTTGTTTTAAGTTACATTTTATGTTATATCTTTTCTTTCTGTTCTTTGATATATTAGTGATTTAATTGATTGATATCCCAGAAGTAATGAGCTTTTAAATTGCCCTAAGAGTATCACTGTATTCTTCACCAGCTAGCCAACTAAATTGCCCTTGCATGGCCAGCCTGCAGATGTTACCAGGATATTGAAAGGCTAATAAGTTAGATAAATATATATATATGCTTGCCAATAGCTCAACAGGATCATCAAGTTCACCTCTATATGTAGACACAAATTTGTTCTCAATGCCAACCTGCTGTTAAGCACGCCATTATAAAGCGTGCAGCCATTTTTTCCACGAGATTGTCAACGAACTCGCCGACGAGCTCTTCGACGAACTCGCCGACGAACTCGCCGACGAACTCGCCGACGAACTCGCCGACGAACTCGCCGACGAACTCGCCAACGAGCTTATCGGCCAGTGACGAGCGTGTATATTTCGAGCACGCCAACGAGCTCGCCAACGAGCACGCCAACGAGTTCGTAGCTAATTTGCATATTTGGAACGAAACGAGCTCGCTGGCGAGTTCGTCTGCTTGCTCGTCAACGAACTCGTTGGCGAGCACGCTGACGAGCTCGCGTGTAAGCGTACTGAAATTTGTATAGGGGGAGGGACACGATTGAGGTGAGAGAGCAAAACTGGAAACATTGTGATATATACAGGTAGGCATTAACCATAGGGAAGTGATATTGGGAGAGAGTTGAGAGAGAATGTGAGACACATGGCGCAAAAGCGAATCAAATAGATCATACTCACAGCTCACGTAGTCCAGCAGAATCTCAAATTCATTGGGGCTCAGCTTGTCCCATATTGAGAGTGCCATAGCTCGCTCGCTCGTCAACGCTTCGGTCGACTCCAAGACGCCTACGGCAGCTTCTCACAAAAATTCCCAGCGAACCACAGCAATTACGTTATGTTGTAAACGTCCTCGGTTCCAGCGACCACTAGGCTACTTGAATGCAATGTTTCCAAGCCATGTGGAGCTGGAAATGTGTGTATAGATATCTCAAATCTCTCCTGCTTTCCGTTATGATTACGATATCATCACTGCTCCTGCTGGATGCGCTGATGAGGGTTTCACCTTTGATTCCAATGTAATTTCAGAAGTAATTTTCCTGTGACACAGTCCTCTTTCTACCACTCTGCTGCAACGCCCGGGTGGGGGTAATGCTAATCCTTAATAGAACCTTCGGATCACAACGGCGCAGGCATGACACAAGAATTTGGGTCAATCAGATGTCTGGAACTGCATGTCTGTGGTGGAGAAGGAAAGAGCAAGAAACAGAGAGAGAGAGAGAGAGAGAAAAGAACAGAGAGAGAGAGAGAGAGAGAAGAGAGATAGAGAAAGAACGGAGAGAGAGAGAGAGAGAGAGAGAGAGAAGAAAATTATTATTAAAGTCACGTTGCTATTCATGGTGTTACTTTGAATATGCCAGTACCATCGATAATAATAAGCCCATTTCTTAAATGAGTACCAAAAACTTAAAAGCATGACGATTAACAAGTCAGAAGCAAAAACGTATTTCCACTTTAAATATTAGAGAGCCCTGTATGTGTTTATAATAATTATAATAAATCAGATATTTATATAGCGCACATATTCACCATGCAAGGTGCTCAAGGCGCTCCAAATATTACCCGGTTCTGCTAGGCTGCCGATTTCAGCGCTCACAGCATTCAGAGAATTCCTTCCTACCGGTACCCATTTAACACCTGGGTGGAGAGTGGCAAATTTAGGTTAATGTCTTGCCAAAGGACATTAGTGCCACAGCAGGACTCGAACCGCAGACCCTGTGATCCACAGTCCGACGACTTGTTCACTAGACCACAACACCTCTACCTTAATTGTCCTGTTAAATTGCAACAACAATTCTGCATACATTTATGATTCTTATCAAGTGCCCATCAACATACATATACAGTGTATGATTACGTTAATAAACCTTCATAACAGTGATATCAGGTAATGTAAACAAGACAATAAATAATGTAAACAAAACAATATATAATGTAAACATCGCAATAAATAATGAACAACCTTTACGAAATTCAGCCATAATACTGTTCTAAATAAGGGTTTGAAACAAGCAGCTTTTCCCCAGAAGACATGTACCAGCAATCTATCACACATCACAAACTGCTGTACTTTAGAGTAATATCCATTTAGGCACGAACACAAAACAAATTTCAGAGTCCTTGTCACGAATCTTGTCACTCACCAGCGACAATGGCTTTCAAAATGCACTAAACACACACTAACCCACACACACCCACACACACTTTGTTATGCAGCCTGTTTACTCCCGAAAACATACTCTGAGCATACAAGTGGCCCGCATGGCTAATCTAACTGAGTACAAACCTGCAGAGGGTCATTATTTCCTCATTCCTTGAGTTACACATAATATGCAACTGAGTGGAGTAATTACATTTCTACTTTGAATTAAGGCAGGCGCCTGCTATAACAATCCACCTCTTAGACGGATCGACGGAGGTGGCGGAGGAGTTAGGGAACAGGATGGATAAAGGGAAATATGGCAAGGGTAATGACAATCTAGCACTGTTTCTATCTCCGTCAAAAGTTCATTAAGATCTTATTAATTATCCATGCTATCCTATGAACTCGTCTTAATGAGTTCATTTGGGCAAACCAACATACACAGATGGTGTTAATCATAGCTACAATGTATCAAAAGTAATTAGCTCGACACAATTTTTTTCCTTCTTTTTACTCCATGCTATCTGCCCATTCCAAATGCAAGCTCAATTTAAGACCGCTTTCGGCATTTTGAAGATTAGATTACGGATGAACTGCTCATACCTTTACAGCGATGGAACATTCATGATAAAGGAAAGGAAAGTTGTGCTAATTGACATTTTAAATATTCATTGCTTATGCTAGAATAATCTATTCACCATTCACCTGAGAACCCACAATCCGGTTAAGGGTTATGTCACAATGCTTATTACATTCAAAATAACTTTTTGTTCTTTTTGTTGTCATATCACCAAGAATTCTCTAGACACACCTTTTGTCAACAACAACAACAACAAAAGGACATGCTAAAATCTAGCACTAAGGACATTTCTATCATCACATCGATATAGTGAACTGCCGTTGGACATGATGACATCATTCCGACGATCTGCGCATATGCCACGTTGTCTACCCTCTCTATTACCAGAATCAAGAACGTTTTTAACAGTCACCTCAATCAAGAACGCTGTTTTCTAGTTATGAGCTCATTCAAAGTGCTGCGCGTGAGGGAAATATGCATATGCATGACGAATACGTCACATGTCGACGTTATCATGCTTACTAATGCTGCAAGCAGTTGTTGACTGAATCAAAAATGGTTTCAAAGGAAATCTGTTCAATGTATGACCTCAAGTGAACTCAATTTGATTACCGGTAGAGTTAATTTTCTATGATTGGAAAGATCACTACAGTAGTAATCAACATCTCTAAATAGGTTATTATGTTATTGTTGCATTCTTAAACGATTACTTTTACAGAGAACTGATTTGCTAGAAGCGATCCTATCAGGGCTCAAATTAATTTTTTGTCCACGGGGGCTCTTCCCAAAAAAAAAGAGCCCCCGTGAGCCTTCTCACGGGGGCTCTTTTAGTGCTGACGGGGGCTCTTCTTTTAATACAAATTTCCATTGAATTTGTACCCATGAAACTCCTTGTTTTTTATCATTATCATTTATCGTCCACGAGCCGTGTGGCGGGGAGGCGATTTTTGTTGTTGCTATTTTGAACCCCGTAAGACAGTGATGTTTACCTGACATCTACTAACATGCGGAGCATCGTCCACGAGCCGCGAAGCGGCGAGGCGATTTTTTTGGTGCTATTTTGAACCCCCGTAAGTGATATTTTCCTGGCATCTACTAACGTGCGGAGCATTTTTTGGGTGCTCTTTTGAACCCCCGTAGGTGATGCTTTCCTGGCATCTACTGACATCTATACTGTGTAGGTCTGGACACAAGATGGCATTTTTCTATGCACATTTTCACTTGGCAGCCCAAGGGGGAGGGGGGGGGGGTAGGAGGGTTAAACCACCTAAACCGCCTAGATCCGCCCCTGCAACATCTTTGGTCTTGTTCTTCTTCTCGATATTAATTTACTGGTCGAGGTACATAATTTGCTGGTCTTTTAGAATCACCAGATTTCCGAGGATTCACATTTTTCACAACGAAAAAAATTCTGCATATTTCAGTCTTTGCGTGATCGTCTCCAGCTCCAGCAGATATTGGGCGTCAGCGTGCAAACCTGTACTACCGGCGCAGTATAGCCACTGCTGACGACCGCACAATATAGTGCGAGCTTCCGTTTTTTTATATCGGTAATACTCATAGAGATGGGAGAGATAACGCCATCTAAGTTCCATTTCATTGGTTTAAGGTTTGAAAATTGATACTCAATATTGTGTTAAAGTTATATCAGAAAAGATAATCTTTATTTTATAATTCCACGGGGGCGATTTTTAATTTTGCAATCGCCCCCGTGAGCAACCTGACGGGGGCGATTATGGAGCTCACGGGAGCGAATCGCCCACCGCCCCCGTGTATTTTGAGCGTTGGATCCTATGATAATACTGAATTTGTTTAATTATACCTTGATGAACCAATACTTGTAAGATATATAATTAATTAATACTTGATTATCTACCTTCGATAAACAAACAGCTTATGGACTAACTTATTTTGAATTAGTTGGTCCTCATGTTGGTAATCGTAGTTCAAGATGAAACTTAATTGTTAAATTAGTATCCATTTATAATGTAGCTTCTCCTACACATATATATTGACTTATCTTGCCTGCACTAACCAAGTTTCACTATGTTGCAATGTATCTATCCCTCATTGTCTTCCCTTCTGCATGTGCGTGCTACTTCTTACAAGATTTCAAGGAAAGGCTGTCACAGATCTACTTGCCATGTCACACATCAAAAAACAAATTTCTCTTGTCATTCATTGGAAAAGGAGAACGCAGAAGAAAAAAAAGAAGGCTTTACACCAAGTCTAAGACACAGACACAAGACTCTTGCCCCGGGGCTAGCCAGTGCAGATTTCGCATGAGCACTCAATCTTGCATGTCACGGTTTAAAAAAATCATACAGCACGACAAACCAAGAAGACGATTCCTTCAAGAATAATCATCAATTTCTTTTGCTGCATCAAAGTGGTCCATATTCTTCTAAATGACAATGACAGTGTTCGATTGCGTTTAGAATAGTTTGGGCCCTCAGGGATCCATGTTTTTCTCCCGTTCCGTGTTCAACCAGGGCTCCTGTTTCTCCCTATATCAATGCCATCTCAGTTGCTTACTTGCAAGAAGCTCGTCTTCATATATTTTGTGTACAGGCATCAGAGGATGAAATTAACATGGTATTACATGCTCTGCAAATCAAGCCATAAATTTACCTAAATATCTTTAGACTAGGATATTGGGATAAGTTAATTAGACTAGTCTTTCATATTATTGCTCTTTTTAAATGCTAAAAAGAAATACAAGACAGACCAAACCGTGTACATTTAGTATGCATACAGAAATATTGGGAAATGTGTTATGGTATGTGAATGTTAGAAAAAATATGCACTGAATTGGTTTCAAAAAGTCAACTTTCGTATCTCTACATAAAGTTATAAATGTTTCATGAACATTCATTTGTAAACAAATAAAACTAAACCCCACAAAATATACAAACATAAATATATATATATATACACTATTTATATACACATTAATGTTGATGATCCAACACCATCTTTCATTTACAAAAAAATAGGATTGATATAAAACTGGCAGAAAATAACACAAGATCTTGATATACCTTGAAAAAAATTAATTCCCACTGCCATTGTTCATTATCTAACATTTAATACAGCTTTTATATGAAAAGCAAATACATGGATTACACATATTCTGACTCATTCGATCAAACTTGGTAAAGATCTATTTCAAAAGCCTATATCATTATGTAGGGCAGCTGCCTTCTTCTCTGGTCTACTTTTTCATCTAATGCAGCCATGGATTTCATCTCCATATTTTGCTTGGCGTCCTGCAGTAAACAGATTATACATGGCACATTACACTCAAGACTTTACGGTTCCAGAGTCTGCTGGTGACTTTAAAGGGACCAGGGCAACCCTTGCATTTGTTTCCAGTTTAATGCCAACTATCTTGAAAGCAGCTTCACCGGTTTTGTGACACATTCAGTGACATATTTAGGTTTTATAAGCTGATTA